ATAGGGTTAAAATGCATCTCAAGAGGTCATCTGGTCCACACTCCTGTTTCAGGCTCAGCCATCGCCCTGCCAAAACCACCAAATCTGGCTTCTCAGGAAAAATGCTGGCATGGGTTCTAGTCCTCAGAAGAGCTGCTTCCTCTCTCTGGGCCTCAGTTTCTCCTCTCTAGCTCAAGGAAGATGGATTGATCTTCAAGTTTCTTCCACCCCTGCCAGTGTGTGGTTTCAGAAGACACAAAGCACTTTGGAAATGAGCAGCCCCTGTGTTTGAATCACCAGTGTTGGCCCCGTTCCCGAGAGTGCCAGCTGCAGGGGGGTGTGTCCCTATGCCTGGCAGAGTGGCAACGATGGGCTTTTTCACAGGCAAACCAGGACATACACAGTGAAGTGTGGCGGAGGCTTTCAAGTCATCCCCTGAGAGGCCAACATCCACTCCAGTGGTGCTGCTCGTGCCCACAAGAAGCTCTGGAAACTTCTCTTGCGGAGAGGTCTTCTAGATGGGTGTCGGAGCTGCAAGGGACACCAGGCCTCACTACAGGGTACCCACACCTCAATTCCTGGTCAAGTTCTGCTCCCCAGCTGGCTTCCCTCCTTCATCACAAGGCATGACCACCAGTCGTTTCCACGAGAGTAAAGCCACTCCAAAGGACAAAGAGTCACTCCACAGTGAGGATTTGCAGAGCATATGCCACAGGCTCTGAGATGCTTCCAAAAGAGTTTCCAGAAATGTTTGAGAAACTACAGCAAATTGGTGTGAACATATGGTTTCCCGGGGGGACCACTTGGATGGGGTCGTTGCTCCTTTGGGTGTGTAAATCAGTCTCAAGCCTCACCTCATCAGAGCCAAGTGTGTGAAAAAGTGTGAGTGTGTCATGTATCCAACAAGCAGAAGTTCACCCCCGCCACAACAGCCAGGTGGGGAGAAATGAAAAGACAGACGTACGATCCCTGCCTCTGATTCCAAGCCTGGGTCTGAAACTTCCCAGGATGTGGATGGAGCACCCCTAACTCAGGATGACAACATTTTAGAATGGGAAGAAACCCACGCCACCGCCTAGTCGCCCTCATTTTACAGATGATTAAACAGAGACCAGGGTGTGTTCGGTGTAGGGAGAGGTGACTGCCCCACCACTGTGGCCCAGAGAGTTGGTAGCAGAGGCAGGAATTGACTCTCTAACCTCCCAAGAGCTAACCTAGCGACCCATTCCAGCATCAGCTCGCTCCGTGACCCCACCCATGAGAAGTAAAATCAAGATCCTAACACACGCCTCCCTCCCGGTCGGTTGTGAGATTTAGTGAATTAATGCATGAGAAGGTTTGTGGAGGTAAGGAGGACAGCTAAATAAAAGCAGGACATGCTGAGAACGAAAAGAACAGACCCATCAACCCAGAGTCCAGCTCTAAGACAGAGCTGGCGGGGAGGGGGAGAGCTGAGATGAAGTGACTGCGTCACCAAGTCACATCCCCATGGCCTTAAATATTTCATGGAACCAGAAGTGCCCTGCGCGGAACAGCTGCTTCTCCTCCAGCCAGGGATGTGACTGCGGCAGCGATGGCAACGTTTGCACCTGCGCACCCACCTCTCCGCAGGCGCCTGCAAGCCGGGGAAGGGACTCGGGCAGGGCAGGCTCCACCTCCAACCAGGGGCCTCCAGGAGCAAGTAGTGGGCCCTCCACGCCTCCCCAGCCCTGTGTGCGAGCAACCGGTGCCTTCTTCCACCCACAAGCTCAACACACACTCACAGCCACCGCCCCGCTCTGGGCATGAATGAAGGTCAAAACAAGATACCCAGACAGCCCCATTCTAGCCCATGCCGAGACCCTAGCCCCAGAGGCGGCAGCCAGCCACACTCCACCTCCCGGCTACCCACAAACGCTTCGCCCACCTGCACCCAGCCTCCATCTCTTGAAGCCAAGCCCATACCCAGAGCTGTCTCCTCCCTCTCCCTGCTCTCTCCTCCTCTGCCTCCGCCCCAGCACCGGCTGCTCCTGGGACCCTTCTCCCCACACAGCCCTCATCAGCCATCTCTCCAAAGCCTGAGCAACCTGGGCCCCTCTCCTTTCCTGTAGCTTTTGGGGAAAGTGGTTCGGGGAACCTGGAGCTTAAGGAAGCAACATGAAGTGTGGGTGTAGGACTTTGAGAGGCATCTCCATGGCCAGACCACAGTCTGAGGAGGAAAAAAGGAATACGAAAGAGGCCCAGGCCAACTGGCTGATGGGGGTCCGTGAAGGTTCTCCCAATGAGAGCCTAGAGAGACGACTCCCCTCACAGCTGCCCTGCTGGGAGATGACAAGACAGTAACAATAACAGGCACGGATTAATCAAGGGTCTTCTATGAGCCAGGTACCTTAGCTCATATGAGACTCAACCCTATCAGGCAGGGTCTCTTCTCCCATTTTACAAATGAGGCTCAGTGAGGGAATTCTGAGGCCCCAGAGATGCAGGGGTGTGAGAATCCTGACTTTAAGCTCCAGGATCCTGGTGGAATGGGGTAAGGGATGGACAAGTCATCTATTTGGTGGATATTTGGGATCCTGTTCTGTGTATGTGTGGTTAGGAGGTGGGCAAGTGGGGCAGAAGCCAGAGCAAGCACCCGCAGGCTAACATGGGCCCTGCATTCCCCTCCCCATCTGCCTCCCCTTGGCTTCAGTGTCTTCATAGCCCCTCCCTCCTCCGTCACTTCTGGTTGGGGGGCAGTGCTGAGGAGCAGCTTCAGGGGAGGGGCTAGGAAATACAACTAGTTGTTTTCCTGCCTGGCCTTGCTACATCAAAGAAAGAGTAAAGGCAAAAATATATCTATCTGCACCCCCGTGCTCCTGGCAGCATTCTTGACAATAGCCAAGGCGTGGAAACAACCCAAGTGTCCGCTGAGGAATGAAGAGATGAACGGAGACAGTTGTGATAGATACAGAAAAAGATATAGCTGTAGAGATGTGTGTGTGTATACAATGGAATTTCATTTGGCCTTAAAAAATGAGGAAACCCTACAATGTGGATGGACCTTGAAAGCATTATGCTAAGCAACATAAGCCAGATAAAGACAAATTCTGCATGATCTCACTTATATGTGGAATCTAAAGCAAAAGTCAAACTGCTAGAAAAGGAGATCAGATTTGCAGTTATCAGAGGCGGAGGGGAGGTGGAGGGGAAAATGAAGGAAGGTAGTCAAAAGGTACAAACTCCAGATCTAAGATGAATGTGTGCTGGGGTGTACTGTACAGCATGATGACGGAAACTAACACCAACGTGTGTTACACAGGAAAGTTACTAACAGAGTTAACTCCTGAGTTCTCATCCCAAAGAATTTTTCCCCCTTTTTTTCTCTTCTTTCTTTCTTTTTCTTTGTTTCTGTATCTTATGAGAAGATGAGTGTTGCTGAACTTATTGTGGTCTTCATGTCACAATTTATGTCAGTCAAACTGTGGTGCTGTGTGCCTTCCAATTTATACAGTGATGTATGTTGCTTGTTTTTCAATAAAACTGGAGAGGAAAAGTTTTTAAAAAGAATCAGAGGGACCCTACAAGTGCAGACTGAGTGTAGGGGGTCATTCCTAGAGTCCAGGTGACAGCAAAATGGGGTCGGTTAACATGCAAATGGAGGTCTGGCTGGCCCACTGAGTCCCTATAACCCCAGGCCTGCCCTGAGAAAACCGAGCTGGGCCTGAAGTGTGTAAAGAGATATGGCTAGGCGGGAGGACAGGGGAGGTTATTTTGGGAGGTAAAAGGGGAAGGGGCCTTGATATCCAGGTCAGGGAAGCACTGCCCAAGAGAGGAGGCAACTAGGAAGTAAGGCTGAGCCCTCAGAGGAGAGGGTGATCATAGGGACCCCAGAGAACCAAGCATTAATCTGTGTGGAGCTTGCCAGTTGCTGGTCTTAAGGCTAAAGAAACAGATCTCTGGCCCTGGCCCTGGCCCAGCCCCTCCCCCAGAACTCCCTGTCCCTTCTCCCTACCTCCAGTCCTTCTCCTCCTGCAGTGATGCACCCAGCCCTGCCCTGCCCCAGGGCCGCAGCACCTCTCCTCCCTCTATCCAATTGCCCCCAGACCCTGGCATGGTACCCACCAGATCCTAGGAATAACCTATCTGCCTCACTCACGGGTATTGACTGACTTCTGGTCGTATACCAACGTAGTAAGTTCTTCAGGGAGTCTAACCTCCATCCCTTCGGTTACAGCAGATCATTTTCATCATCCTGCCAGTAGCGGAATCGGAAACCAACCCCAGCTGTAAACAAGCCACCCCACTAGGAGTTCCCCCCTCCATCCCCCAGCCTTCTCCCCTTGCAGGCCTTTCACCTGCTTTCCCAGCCCCACAGTTTAGCAAGCAGAAAGAGAAATCTATTTCACAAGCATTATCGGCTCCCCACCCCCAACGCTCCGTCTGCTGATTCCCAGATGGTCCTCTCTCCTAGAGCCCTCCACCCACTCCCATCGGCACTTCAAGAGAGAGAGGCTCTAGCCTCTGGAGACTCTTTAAGGTCTTCAGTTCTCCCTCCCGGTGCGCCGAGGGAACTGCTAGCGCCCGGACCGCACCCCTCCCCTCCAAGTTTTGACCTTCGTCCTAGTGTTTTCCTCTCCAGGGAAAGTCCCTCTCCGTATCTAGCCTTCATCCCTCCTGCTGCATGCCTAAATCCCCTTTCCTTCCTCGCTCCATGAGACAACCCGTTTTAAGATCATAAATGAAAGCTTCCTCTCGCGTTTTGCCGCCTCCTCTTGGCAGCGCCCCTCTCTACCTTCCCACTCATAAAACCTGTCCCAGCCTGAAGAAGTTCTCCGTCCCGCTCCCCACCCCCACTCCCTGCCCGGATCTCTGAGGACACCTGGATGCCTGCAGGGGCCGCCGACCACGACCCGGACCCGGCCACACCCGGCTCGTCCGCCCGCGGGGTGGAGACACCCGCAGCCGGCGGAGCAGCCACGACGGGGTTAAGGTTCCGGGCTGGGGGAGGGGAAGGGGGCCGGGAGGGACGGGTGCGGAGCCAATCGGCGGCCGCAGAGTCCCCGGGGCCGAGAGCAGGGAGCGCTGTGCGGGGAGCCGGGAGCTGAGCGCGCCGGGCTGGGGCCGGGGCCCGAGCGGAGCGGAGCAGGGGGGGAGAGCGCCCGCCCCAGCCCCGAGTCCCGCCGCCTGCCCTGAGTCCCGCCGCCTGCCCTCCCGCCGCAGCGCGGGCTCAGCGGCCGCCGCCCCAGCCATGGAGCAAGACAACAGCCCGCGGAAGATCCAGTTCACCGTCCCGCTGCTAGAGCCGCACCTTGACCCCGAGGCGGCGGAGCAGGTGCGGAGCAGGGCGGGGTGGCCGGGGACTCGCCCAGCAAAGGACGAGGGACCCTTGGGCTGTGGGATCTGAGAAACCTTCTTCGTCTGCCCTTGGCAGTGCGCCCCTGTGAGGGCGACAGCGCTCAGTTTGGGGGTCTTTTCTCCCCTCCCCCCACCGCTGGAGCCACATCTTCCTGTCTGTGCTAAGGCGAGCGCCACCCCTCGAAGCCTGTCCCTGCAGAGGGTCGCTCTCTGCCTCCCCAGCCCTGGGGGAGGGGGCCTGCATGAGGACACGACCCCTCCCCCTTCGCCAGTCTTGCATCCCCCATCCAGTCAGCCCCCACCAGAGTTTCTGAGCTCGGTGGGGGCGCCGAAGGGTACTGGCAGCCTTGCGGGAGGGGTTCGGGGAAAAGGTAGGTAATGGAGGGGAGCCAGGTGCTGTCAAAGGAGTTGAAAGAAAAGAAATAGCCCTCCGGGTCCTCCCCTAACCAAAGGCTACCTTGCCGGACTCCAGAGAGTGAAAACAAGAAGGAGCTCAGGAAAACTGAAAGGGCTGGGGCTTTGGAGAAAGGGTGGTGGGGTCCACAGGCTGAGGGTCCCTTCTTCTGCAAGTCTGGACACGTGGGTCCCTATTCTCAACTCCTGCCCTTTGGAGCACAAGGAATGGGGATGGCATGGAGAGATGGGCCCAGGGAAACCAGAGGCAGGGGCTTTCTGGGGGCTGGGTGCAAGGAACCCCATGTGTAGGGGAGCAGTCCTGTGCGGCCTTGGCTCAAGGGGTGGGAGTCCAAGGCCCTGGCCCAGCCCAGGGCCTGGTCTATTTTTAGCTCAGAGCTGCCTGGCAGAGGCGGCAGTGGATGAGTGTGTATGAGCAAGTGTGTGTCTCAGGGAGAGTGAGCATTTGTGTGGAGACGGTGACCCCCTGTGGTCACTACTACCGCCGTTTACGAAATATTTGTTCATTTGCTCATTGCTCCATCTCTTTTTGTGTTCTCTGTCCATTTCCCTGGACATCCCCGTTCCTAAGGAATATCCATTGGCCACAAGGTCAGTTCTCCATTTCCCCCAAATGGCTCCCAGGACTCTGGCTGGGCCTCCCCACCTGAAAAAACTCTGTAGCCTCTTGGGATGGGATGGAGAGAGTGTCCTCTGGCTTGCTCCAGCTGTTTGGTGGAATAAGGTCAGGGTGTGAAGGGAGGGGTCGGTACACACACTCTCCCTGTGACTTCAGCTTCCCAAAGTGTGGGTAGGGGTGAGAACCTACACCTCCCCCCTCTGTCTGACCGGGGGTGAGCCGCTTCTCCAGACCTGGAAGGGGTGGCAGTAGGAGGAACTGTGGGGAGACTTCAGGCCTGGTGAGGATGAGGAGGGTGGAGAGCCTGAGCTTGGTGAGTGTTTCCCCAGAGTCAAGGGCAAGGCTGTTACACCTGGAGGCAGGGGACTGGCTAAGATAACCTCAGACTCAAAAAAGGGCCCATGACTGTGGGCTGGTGGGGTTAAGGGTGAGGTGCCACGAAGGACTGCCTTCCACCAGCATAGACAGGTCTCACATCCTGACACCTGCATCTGTTTGGTGTTGGAGAAGGCAGGTGTCAGTGCGTGTTGGGAGGAGGAGGGGGTAGGCCAGCTTGTTCAGGGGTCAGGAAACAGAGGAGGAGAAGACAGTGGTAAGGAGCCAGAGGGAAAAAAGAACTGGGACTTCCACCTGCTTTTCTCTAATATTCCAAAATTGGTGTCCACTAGACCTGAAATTCTACCTGCAGTCTAACTCGGCCCCTCTAGCTGGGTCACCCAAGTGTGTTACCCAATCCAGAAGCTCCAGGCGTGGCAGGAGCTCCTAATCCAGACTGACATGGGAGAGCAAAAGAGGTTAGAAGCTATGAGTTATGGAGCACAGAACGGCAGCGGGTGGAGGGGTGCCCACAGTTACCAGGTCTTTGGCATGACTGGTTTGGCAGCAAATCAGAGGCAAAAGCACCAGGTGTCCTTGAACACTGGGATTGAAGATAGGTGCAAGAGAAAGAAAAGAGACCATCTATTTGTTACCTAGTAGTTCAGGTGCCTGGAAGGTGCTTTGGGAAGGCTGACTTGACTCCCTTCAGCTATATGATATCAAAATTCTCAAAGACTCTGAGTGCCTAGAAATCTTATCCAAGGCAAGGAAATGGGCTAAGGAAGGAGCCTGTCCAACATCGCAGAGCCCTGCTGCCCTCTCAGAGGCCCTTTCTGTCCTCCCTGAGGTCCCTTCTCAGCCTTGCAACTTCCACTAACATCCCCATCCTCTCCCTGTGTCTCTGACTCCTCCACAGCCAGCATCCCCCCTCCACCCACAGCAGGAAAGACATATTATAAAGAGGAGTCCTCCCTGGGGAAGGGATTCCCCTCACCCCGCAGATGTGAAGCCCACTGCCGGCCTGCTGGCACCCAGCCCCTCTGCCTCAGGAACAGCCAGTCAAACTCACAACTGATGTTTGTGTAGTGCCTATGTGTATATGCGTGTGCGTGTGCATGCGCACGCATGTGCGTGCACGCGCACACACACACACACACAGAGGACTGGTACTGCCCGGACCTTGAAATGTCACCCCAAACAGATGTCGCTGGAATCTCCAGAGAAACAGTGACCTACCCCCACATGCCCCCATTGGATGCATCCCATTTCTTTGGGGAGAGTCCCCCTCTCAGACTAACCTCTTGTGAGGGCTGAAATCCATTTCTGGGCATAGAGAAGGGTGGGCGTCTTACCCCACCCCCAATGGTAGTGATGCTACATAATGGACACAGAAGATAGGAGGTTGATCCTTCAGTATCCTCACCCTACTGCCCTCAGCCCTGGATAATTTTAGCCCCTTTCCCAGCCCCTTTAGACTTCCCTCCTCTCTCCTGCCCTGGAGGGAGCTACGGGAACTCCAACCCCATGAGACCCCTCGCTTCTAAGCCTCTAAACCCTCCAGAGAAAGGGAAAAAACCCACACGTCCCAGGAGTCCTTGGACTGACTTCAACAACAATCAACTTTATTGGCAGCAAGGCAGAGGAACAGCAGCCACCCTGCCGGCAGTCTGCTTTTATATGTTAATTTCTTAGAATGGGACCCCGGAGCCCAGGATAAGATTTTTCAGGTAACGTTAGGCCCTGATTAGACTCCTGCCTCTGGCTCCTGCTAGTATTTTATTTACCATGACAAGGATTTCCCCAGACCGCATTTCCTGACAAATTAGAAAGGTAGTGTGCCCAAGGATAGGGAGGACTTTGGAGAATGAGCCAAGGCATGGGCGTTGGCCAGGAGAAGGCACCTTCAGCCCTACCTTCCCTGTGCTATTCCCCCAGCCTGGGTGGGGACCAAGGGGTGCTCTCCATTGATGCCAGCGCACTAAAGGTTAATGTCTGTCAGGGGCTGTGGGCTGGAACACTGAGGGAAGAGCCTTGGCCCTCCAGGGTTATTTCTGACCATTGATCAGGATGGACGGAAGGACAGCCAGCCAGAGATCAATGCATGAGAGCAGATACAGCTGCTAAGATGGATTACGAGGGAGATGCAAAAACAGAAAGGGGTTGGGGGTCTTTTGGGTCCCCAAGGGAGAGGGATGGGCCCGAGAATGTCCATCTTGGGATGGTAGGTTCAGTGTAATGTGGCATTTTTTGAGATGTATTAAGCCAGGAGCCTGGATTATGTTGCTGAGTGGTATTGGGTGGGGCTTCGATGCTTCCACGTGCACTTGACCTCTTCCCTCAGATTCGGAGGCGCCGCCCCACCCCTGCCACCCTCGTGCTGACCAGTGACCAGTCCTCCCCAGGTAACCCCAGGGATGGGTCGTTGAAGGGCATGGGTGCTGCTGTGGACAGCCAGGTCCAGTGAGAGCAGGCGGGCACTAGTGAGAACAAGGGCAGATCCAAGGATTCAGAGAGCTAGCTCTGCAGCTCCCCGGGGATCAGAGTCCAGAAAGTGGTGGCTGTATTAGCAGGAGCATTTCCTTTGCTTTGGCAAGATGGAGCAGTTCTGGAGAAGGGGAGGGAAAGCACCTGGCTCCTAAGCCCCCCAGGAATTGGGGTGGTCAACTGAGTGCTGGTTGCTGCGGCAACAGCCTTCCAGATTTCTCCAGCAACTGAGATGCTGCAGGCCCCCCACCCCCAGAGGCAGTGACAGCTGTGAGGGGGAGGGACCGCCTCCATCAGCCATCTTCCCGGCCCCCAGAGGGGAAGGGGAAGGTTAGACACAGCTCAGGGAGCAGCTGGCATTCCGGTCACCCATGTGCCCAGCAAGGTCTGGAGAGAGAACCAGGTGTTTGAGAATATGAGGGGAGCTTGCCAGGACAGTGGCAGAGAGGCAGTCATGCTCATAAGTGAGCCTGGAGTTCAAGAGGCTGGAGTCTCCAGCCTGCACCCAACTACCGAAAAGGGTTGTTGTACCTCCCTGCACAGGGGAAACTTGCTCTCCTTTATCCGGTCTTCCCTCCCGTGCAGGATTCAGTTCTGGTCCTGGGGCAGGGGGGCAATGGTTGGGAGGAGATGGAGGAAAAGAGCCAAAGGACCACGGATTCTACTTCAGGAACCTCCAGGTCCAAGGCAAGGATGTAGACACAGACTGACCACAGAGTCAAGAACAGGACTCCGTGCAGGGAAGAAAGCAGGGCAGGAGGGAGCCAAAGGGATCGGGCCTGGGGCAGCCATCAGGGCCAGCTTCCTAGGGCAGAAGTGAGGGACAGATCAGAAAACCGGTGACTGCCAAGGCTCCTCCCCTTGGGAAGTCAGCTCCATAGGGACCCCTGGGTTTTCAGTCCTCTTCACATTCTCCTTTCCCTGTTCCCCTCAGAGATAGATGAAGACCGGATTCCCAACCCGCTTCTCAAGGTGAGCCAGTCCCTCTCGCTCATCCCAGCCCAGAGAACCCAGAGTTTCTTCAGAGGATTATTTCTCAGACCACCGCCCCCCAATCTGTAAGGCCTTTTGACTCCCTCTCCTCTGCCTCCAAGTGAATATGAGCAGACACACACATACACATACACACACACCATATCCCCCATACCCAGTCTCCTTGCTCACCACTGTGTGGGGGAGGGGAGCACCCTGGGAAGCAGGATATTTCTCCCCTCACTTTCTGAAGACCATAGCTGACCCCCAATCTCCAATCCAAAAGCATGGCAAGGCACAGAAGGCAGGGGAGAAGGGCTGGCCCCCCCACCTATGCTCTGTGTCCTTCACAGTCCACGTTGGCCATGTCTCCACGACAACGGAAGAAGGTGACAAGGACCACACCCACAATGAAAGGTTAGGAAGACCCCCCCACCTTCCCATCCCTTTCTTCCCCTCTGTGCCTGAGACTGAGCAGTAGACCTAATGACCCCTTTTTGGAGGGAATCCTTGGGAAGTCCTTAAACTCACCTTTATTATAATCAAATTGCTGCTAGACAGTCTGGGCTGGGTTCCAGCTCTGCCTCCGACTAGCTGGGAGGCCTGGGAGAACCTGCTTCACCCACTGAGCCCTGAGCACCACCTCACTATGGCAGCTAAAGAGACTATGAGTGCTCACCACACGGAAGGTTCTCAGGTATTTCCTGAATCTAAATGGAGTCTTTCCTCTTTCCCCCCACGGGAGATCAAGTAACTCAGCGAGTTAGGAAGATCTATGGTTCCTGAAGGCCCTGCCCCTCCCCTCCCATACTTTCGAAGGAAATATGTTTTATTGTGTACCTTCAGGCCCTCCCTGGTGCCCAGCAAATATCCCCTACCCCCACCCCATTCAGGTATCAGAGGGTGGAAAAGTCACACAGGAGCCACCGGCCCTTCCATGGGGCTGTGGAATAGGACAGTCCACAGAGGAGACTCTGAGCTGTCACATCCCTCCCTTTCTCTGTGCCCCCAGAGCTCCAGATGATGGTTGAACATCACCTGGGGCAACAGCAGCAGGGAGAGGAACCCGAGGGAGCAGCTGAGAGCACAGGGGCCCAGGAGTCCTGCCCGCCTGGGATGAAAGACACAGAAGCGGAGTTAAGGCTGGGCTCGGCTGGGAGAGCACAAAGTACGTTCAGGCTGGGGAGGGACTGGCCCAGGAGGAGGCAGACCTTACCCATCATGGGGAGGGGTCTCATCATAGCCAGAAACTGCCCTGAGAATATAGATCCATTTCTATGGACCCCACGTGTTTGCCTCTGTTCACCTTGCCTCACTGAATGATCCCAGCCCCTCCCTGCTTGGACGGAGTGGGGGGGGGGCGCTCCCTGCTGGGTGGTGCGAGCCCACCAACAAGGGACGCACACTCACAGGCTGGAACCTGGGCTCTGTCATTCCACCAGCAGTTTTGGTTTGTTTGTTTGTTTTCACTGCCCTCGGTCTGTAAAATGATAATGACAATGCCTCTGGCCTTGGGTTGTTTGTTGAAAATGGAATGAGACTGGTTCTTAGCCCAGCAGCTGACACATACAAAGCTTGCAGTAAATGGAAGTGCTGTTAACACGTGTCCGCAGTCCCTTATCCCACGTGGATTCCAGAATCCAGAGTTCTTCCAGTTACACGAAGGTAACATTGTACATGTACTGTGTATTACATACTACCCAGCGGAGCACCCTGTAATCAAACACGGTAATAGTTCTGCAGTGAACTGAAGGGTCCCACTAAATGACATCAATGAAGACCATCAATAGTCCCATACAAGATCAGATTTAGCCAAATTGTACCCAAACTTGTTTTAACTTTCCTTTGTTTTTTTTTTTTTGTTTTGTTTTGTTTTTAATTTCTGATGGCAAATAAAAAAAGAAAAATGGTCCTGTAGTCATAGCTGTGATCAGAGAACACACCACGAGTTTTATCTGATTGCCCCCCTCCTGGTCTTGGGCCCTTCTCAGGGGTCACTGGAGTATCAGATGGGGTAAGAGGAGCAGCAACCTCTACCAGAATTCATGAATACTGCCTTTCCCTCCCACCGCCCATTTTCCCTCCTTAGAGCCTGCAGAACCCATCCCTAAAGCTCAGGAGAGGGGCAGTGAGAAACCCAGCAAAGAGGAACCCACAACCCATATACCACCATTGGATTCCCAGGGAGCCAACTCGGTAAGAGCCCAGGGCTGGGCGCCCCCGTCTGCAGGAGAGCAGGCTGCGTAGATAAGGGCAAGGATGAAGATCTGGAATCAGGAAAAGGGGGAACAAAGGACCAGCTTCAGTCACTGAAAAGCTCTTGTCTCAGACAAGAAGATTTGGGGGTATTATGTATCCATGGACAAAGAGAAATGGGATTAAGCTACAGGACAAAGGAGTGAGGTTAGGCTCTGTACTAGGGTGTCTGGCTCCTAGAATGGGTGATGGAAGTCTGCCATCAGCTTTCTGAGAAAAGGTATTTGGAACCTAAAGGAAGAACCTCATGTCCAGGCTGTGTGAGCAGTAGTCCTGCCTGGAGTGGAGGTATTGAGAGAGCCTTGTGGGCTTTGATTTTTCCAGTTCCCCCCTCCCCTGCGTGAAGCTGGACAAGTTGGGGGGAACTGGTGTCAGACATCAGAGGTTAGACGCTTGATGATGGGCAGCGCAGCAAGGGTGGGGACAGTAGGCCCTCTGGTCTCTCACTCGCCCTCTCTTTCTGCCCCTCCCCCACAACAGGTCTGAGAGTGGAGGAGGTATCCTGCAATGGAGACTGCAGTTGGGAATGCATGGACACTGGATCTGTTTCTTACTCTCCACTTTTGGGAAAAATCTCTTGTTTTTAAAAAGTGATAAATTTGGTGTTAGGTCCTTGGCATTTTCCTTCTTTCCCGGCATGGAGAATCCTCTTTCCCTCCCTTCTTGTCCTGCCCTCTCTGCAGCCCCCTCTCCTTCTGCCCAGCTCCTCTGGAAAGGAGGAAATAGAGAAGCTGGGCCGAAGCCTTGGGGGAGGGGGGAGAATTCTCCCCCCAACCCTGCCCCTACTTGCTGTGGCAAGAGAGATGGGGGGTCAGACAGGTGTAAGGACTAACTTCCAGGGCACCAAGAAGGAAGGAAAGGCCTGGGTTCTGGGTTCTCTTCTCTTAATTGAGGGAATGATACCAACCCCCCCCACCACCACCCCGCAGGATTGTCCCAAAGCTGAGACTTGGAGTTCTACAGTCCGTCCAGCTGTGCCTGTGCTGTGGCCGCCGTCTGCTGGGTGAAAGGGGGAACTGCATCCTAGCCCTTGGCCCAAGGGAAAGGGGTTGTGTTGTGTGGATGCCTCCTTGCCTGCCCTCCAAGCCTAAGTGATTCCCAGGCTTCAGGATGTGATCCCTCCTCCAGCGATGAGGAGACCACCACCCCTATTCCAACCCAATAGCAAAGCTGGATTGAGAACACAGTGGCTATTAACGAAGAGGCCCTGGCTGGGAGCCTTTCTCTCCCTGGTCTAAGACACGGAGGGGCCAGGGCAAAAGACAAAAACCCAGAACAGGGGAAGAAACTTCCCTGGCCAGCCAGGCCTCTCCTGCCCACTGCTTTTGATTTTTCCAGGTGGTGGAGTGGGGAGGGGAGGAGGAAAGGCAAGAATCGCCCTTCCTTACAGAAGAAGCACTTTGGCAGCGAGAGCCTCAGCAGTCCCTACTGTGTGCCCTCAGGCAAGACCTCACCTGGTGGGGGGGGCAGCATCCCCACCCACATACACAATAGGGAGAACACCACACCAGGATTTTTTCGAGCTTCACAGAGACCATATACAGGAAGATGCTTCCATCCAGTGAACACGAAACACAACCAGGACTGGTCTCCCTTCTTTATTGATCTCTGGCTATAGCAGGGTTCTGGGAGACCAAGGGCAGGGGTGAGTCACATGCGTCTCTGCCCCACTTGGGGTGGGGGAGGTGGGACAAGTTTCAAGGTGGTAGGTCTAAGAGACCATGGATATGGACTTCACAGGAACAGGGCCCACTGTACAAATGCATGGTTGGTATTTACAAGATAAGAGGAGGGCAGTCACCTGGACTTAGGCCTTTCCTGGGACAAGGCTGCTCAGAGAGCCTGAGAAGAAGGGACACAGGGCCTGGCAGGCTCTCTTTAGGAAGCACAACAGCAGCAGCCCTGAGTCCCTTCCATCTGCCTTCTACCCACCACTCCGAACTTGTCCCAGGGGAGGGGCCTCTTGGTGCCAGTGGCATCGGCTGAGCAGGTGCTGGAAGGGGGAGGGCAGGGAGTGGCCCTCTGAGAACACTGCAGGCTTTCTGGATTACACCTCACCCTCCCCGTGCACCCTTGGCCCCAACCCAGCTGGTCTCTCCTGCCTTTGCTCATAAAATGCGTCCTAAAGGTGCTTTGCTGGGGAGACCTCAGAGCACTTTACAGACATTGGTCGGATGGGAGCCTCCCAGCCCGAGAGGAGAGGAAGGAGGCAAAGGGCTCAGGACAGCCAGGGTAGGTGACAAGCCCCAGGGGCCTAGACCAATCCCAAGTTCTTGTGGACCCCAGGGAAGGCCTCCTCTCTTCCCCCAGTCCACATTTCAGAATGGGAGGGAAGGAAGATTGGGATGCGGAGGGGGTCTGGGGATGGTGCTAAAGCAGTGTAGGTCTGGGGTAAAGAGAACACCCCCTGCATTCCCAGGCCCTAGAAAGATCCCATGCCCTGAAGGAGCCCACTCCCCTCTCCATACACAGGGCTCTGAAAACCCCCAGCTTTCTATCCTATTCCAGCTCCTCCCAGGGGAGGAAAAGGGGGACCCAGACCTGCCAGCTAAGATCTGGGGGGGCTGAGGGAACCCCCTAAAATGTATTGCTTAGAAACTTGGAGGCAAAAAAGGATGGGGGAGGGCCCAGGGGCTGGCATCTCTGACCCTCCCCCCTGGGCCCTGGGAGGCCTCCAAGAAGCTCCCCTCTCCCAGCCAGCCAAATGGCTATAGGGGTGGGTGGGGGGGAGTCCAGAGGCAGGGGAATGGGCACAGTGACCATTGGGAGCCTGAAGTTTCCCAGACTTGCTGCTGGGAAAATTAAAGTGCGCCCCAATGGGTGTCAGGTGGGGAGGGGCCCTTCCCCCAACCCCACAATCTCTGGCATTTGGCCTTCGGGTGGGTTGTCTGTTCCTCAACCTCCGTGCTCCCTTGGAGCTGATGGGGAAGCCGGTCCCGATGAATGGTGCTGATGACATCGAACACTTTGGACGCACTGAGGACCTGGGAAAGAGGGAGAGGCCTCAGTGCTCCGATCTTTGCCTTATCTCCAGCCTGATTTACCTTCTCCAAGGCCCGCCAGACCCACCCCCAACCCCAGTCCCACAAACAGTTATGCCAACAATGCCTGCACAGGGTGCCCAGCCAAGCGTTTGAACAGGGGGCTGCTCTCAAAGCCACGCCCAACCGACCTCGCAGAGTCCTGCGCCCTGGCTGGGCCCTGTTCCCGAACCCTCACAAAGGTGCTGTAGCCTTGCTTAGGCCCTCCCTGTTCTGAGGAGCTACCTCCTTCCTGCGGGGAATGGACAGAAGGGGTGGAAAGATTTCTCTGCTTCCAACTCAGGCCCTGGCTCAAGTATGTGTTCACTTCCTCCATTTTCCTCCCTCAGAAGAGCTAGGAAGAACCTCTCATCCACAGAACCCCAGACATGACCCTTCAGAGACTCCATGTTGGACACCCAGTTCTCTCTACTCCCTACAGACTCTCCAGACCCTCCCCCCTCTAGCACACAGGCTCACGTGGGCCAGCCCCAGGCTAGTCCAGATTCCCATTCTGGTTGTGTTCATCCTCAGCGGGGGAGGGCAGGACCTCTTCCTCACAGGGGGACAGTTCATCAATGGACATCTGGTTGGTGACACCTGCAGGGGGGCATTTAGGAAGTTGGGACCCAGACAAGAAATATTTTTCCCCAAAATGCCAGGAGCACATGGAGAAAAGTAAAGGATTCTCATGCATCCTCCTGCCTTCAAGATGAGCTGCATTCAACACATGACAACTTAGGGAGAGCCTCCCCAGCATTCTTTCCCAGCCTTGCTAAAATTTATAACTGTCAACTCATACCTAAAGAAAAGAGATTTCCCAGCCAAGGCCACCAAGTCACCCAGATCTACTGGAGCAACATTTACAGACCACAATATGCATGGGGTCCTTTGGGCTGTGGCATATGGCTGTTCCTATCTTCTCTCCTGTCCCTGTTCTACAACAGTCCAGGCCAATCAGCTTGACACTCTTTCCTATCATCTTACTTTAGTCTGATCAGCTCCATTCTCAACTCTGGGAGTCAAACAAAGGGTTGCTCCAGGGGTTTAAAGAAAGTAGACCTGCTCTGGCTCCATCAGCTACCCTCCCCACAAGGCCTCACCCTCACCCCACCCCACCCCACCCCCTGGGTCCAACAGCACCCACCACTTGCTGCGCGTTCCTTCCATTTCTGCTTGTTCTCCTGAATGTGTTTGGTCCAGGTAGAGCGGAAACTGACCACATCAGGGTTGGGGTCTCCTACTTCCACATCCAGAGAGGGTTGGCGCCACTGGGAACTAAAGCAGCCCCCGACCCCGACTCCAGAGGTGAGATCCAGCCCACTCCAGAACTGCCTTCACAGCCCTCAGAGCGGCAGGGATGGAAGACCAGGAGGAAGCTTAGGGAGACTTATCCTCCCCTCTTTCCCACTGCTGGGTACCCCCAATTCCCTGCCCCTTTTCCTACAGTTTCACCCCTTCCTCTCCACACCTTCCCTGCTACTAGAAGGAAAATAAAAACAACATTAGCAAAACGGCAATAAAGACAGCGAACAAAAATGGGTGGAGGGGACCACAGGTGCAGGTCACAGCCTTCTGGCCCCATCCTCTCACCCCTTTGTGTGACAGGCAGCAGAGAGTCCCAAGTTTTGGGTAGCCAGGTTTCTCCACCGGCCCACCATGGCTGTACCTCCTCCCTGCGATCGGTGCTCTCTGAGAGTCCCTCTTCCCTCCCCCAGAACCAGAAGACACAGCTGCCCCAGCCACCCTCACCTGGGCTGGCTCTTAGACTTTGAGTCCTCATCCGCCAGGGGCTGGACGCTCTTCTCGGCCACATCAGTCAGCACAGAGAAGGTTGGCTCCACGATGAAGTCGATGAAACCTGCAGTAAAGGGGGAACACGATGGAGAGTTCCCCCCACACAAACACACAGAGGGCTGGGCAGAGGCACCTGTGTGGCTGGAACACCTGGCTGCGGGTAAGACAGGGTGACCCAGGCTGAGAAATTCCCAGAGGGGGCAGCCTTTGCAACGATGTCTTTGTGACCCCACTTTTGTACCCCCAGGCCTTCCACCCAGGACCCCAGGCCCCAGCACAAGCTTACTCCACAGTAAGACTGGTTTGTTTGTTTGTTTGTTTGTTTGTTTTTAAAAGATTTTATTTATTTATTTGAGAGCGAGACAGTGAGAGAGAGCATGGGCGAGGAGAAGGTCAGAGGGAGAAGCAGACTCCCCATGGAGCTGGGAGCCCGATGTGGGACTCGATCCCGGGATTCCAGGATCAGGACCTGAGCTGAAGGCAGTCGTCCAACCAACTGAGCCACCCAGGTGTCCCAGTAAGACTGGTTTTAAGGGATGGCAACTCGGAGAGGCCTGGCCCCAGCCCAGAAAGCATCCTGTCCCCTTGCCAGGACTCTTCTCCCCACGGGCGAGGCCACTCACCAATCTGCGACTGTGCCACCAGAGTGGAAGTGCGATCACACAGCGGAGAAAAGGGCAGCCCCAGCTCTGCCTCTTTGTCACCCTGGGGAGAAGACAAGGTGGGAAAGCTGGAGGCTTTCCTCTGAGGCTTGCCTCAGACCACCCCCACTCTGGGGTGCAGCTGGGGGAGGTC